TCCCATCCCATCCCATCCCATCCCATCCCATCCCATCCCATCCCATCCCATCCCATCCCCCTCTGTGGCCAGCTCTCCAAGGCCCCACAGGTACCCGGCACTAACATGTGGGCAGGTTGGCCAGGGATGGCTTGGTGGGACCACAGCCAGGTGCTATGTCCTCCTGCCCGCCCTGGGGGAGCCCTGGCAGTGCACGGAGCCCAGAGTACAGTCCTTGTGCCTCGTTGCTCATTGCACAGGATCCGCCGTGTTTGCCAGCAGCTGCAGCTGGATAACGCCGGCAGCCATCTGTGTTCTGGCTCAGGAACTGAACAGTGTATTTGGAGGGAGCAAGAGCGTGCACTTGTTGTTTTAGTTGGTGTTTGGGCTGGCAGGGCTGCTGTCGATGTGGCTCAGAGAGGGACAGCTGGCAGCCCGTGCTTCCCTTCTGTGCCAGGAGCTCTGTGCCTGGTTGGATGGGGCTCAGGGTCCCCCAGCCCCTGACCCCTGTGAGAGAGGCTTGGTGACAAAGTGTGTCGTCAGGGTGCTGGCTTGCTGCTGCTGCTGCCCTCCTGGGCAGCTGGCCCAAACTCTGCCAGTGCTTGGCAACAGGTAGAAGCAAACCAGTGAGCTCCAGCAAGAAGTTTACTGATTCTGGGACATTTATTACATCCAGAATCTTTCAGGTCCCTTATCTTTGTGGGTTTATCCCATGACTGTTGCCTTTGCTTTCCCCTTTGATGAGGGAGAAGCTGTGCAGCCTTCCTCCCTGGGTACCACACTGCATAGGTTCATGCAGTGCACGTGCATGGTGCACAGTGGCATTCAGAGACCCCACAGCCTTCCAGGAGCATCTTCTAACCACAGCCACCCTGGGTCTAGCCCAGCATCTCATTTCATGTCTTCTTGACCTGGCTCCTCAGTTCCCCAGCTGCCTGGGGGGATCCCACAGGCTGTCTGCATTCTTGGAGGTGCAGCCTCGTGACGAGGTTCCGCATCCTCAGCAGCAAGGCCAGCAGTGCTGTCTGTGGGGCCAGTGCTTTCAGCTTGCCACTGGTCACCCAGCTGGCAGTAACCCCTCCTTCTCGCCTTTCCTGCCAGCTAGGGCACCCAGCTGCTTTACCAGCTGTTTCCAGCTCATCCCAGGAAGTTGTCCCATAGCCCAGAGCTGAAGTGAATGAGTGGAAGATCAGGCATTTGGACAAAGTCTTCCCCCTACGCACTGTTTGTCCCTTGCTGTGCATGAAAGCGAGAGAAGGACCTGCAGAATACAGCTGGTGGGTGGAGCAGTCCCCTCTGCCCTAGCAGCTGATCCCATTGAGGCATTTTTAAGTGTGTGATGGCAGCTCTGTGAGCTGGGGCTCATGACTGCAGGCTGCAGCCAGGGGAGGTGCGGCCGCAGCGCCCTGCGCTGGGCCAGCAAGGGAAGTCCCGGTGGAAGCAGGGTTTTTTATCTGGGCTGCCTGGGCCCGGCCTTTGAATGCTTGGAAATGCTCTTCTCCAGATGTTTCCTAGCACACGCCGGCTCTGTTTATAAACAGCTCCTCAAAGCAAAGCCTGTTGAGGCTGCAGGCGGGTGCTCGTGGCAGCAGCGCTGCACGGCTCCCCTGCGCCATGCCACGAGGTCTGGGGCCACAGGTCACCTCTTTTCCCTCCCATCTAGAGGGGTCAAGGTGGTTAACAAAAGCCAAAAATGCCTCCTCTTCCTTTCCCCTCCCCTTCTCCTGGCTAGCAGCTTCCTGCCCTGATGCATCCTGGTGGTGACTGGCCTCTCTGGGCTGCCTTCCTGCCCAGGCTTTCACTGCTAGGGGCACAGAGAGGAGGGCACCCTGGAGCCAAGGCTGCTGGCACACTGCCCTGCCTGAACTGCCTGTTCCAGGGGAGATCCCAGCCACTCCAGGGGCTTGGGCCAGGGAGATATTTCCATTGCAGCTGGGGTTCAGTTCCTTGGTGATTGTCTCAGGGACACATCCTGACAGAACAATCATCAAGCCCTTTGGGTTTTCTCCCCCATGTTTTGCCAGAATTTGAGGTGGGTGCCAAGGGGTGATGCTGAGCAGGACAGAGTGGTGTGGAGTGCAGGCTGGAGTAGCTGTTTGGCTGGTTGTGCTTCCCCAGATCCATCACCTCCAAAGAGAACAATGCTCTCATAGGCACCACTCCTTCAACTTCCAACTGGGTGCAGGTGCCTTTCAGCCACACTATTCTCTGTCCTGGCCCCCGAAGGACAGCACCAAACCCCTCCATTAGAAGGACAAAAGCCAAGAAAAATCCAGGCTAAACAGCTGCTGCCAGCAGCCCTGCCAGAACACCTTTCCCTTGGTTGGCCTGAGCCCAGCACTGGCAAGGCTGTCGTGCAGCGCTGTGAGCAAGTTCCCGAACCATCGGCACTGCGGAGCCACCCACAGCTCATCACATCCTGGATCTCACCTCAGCACTGCTCCCTGGGGATGGCCCTATCCTCCCTTCCAGCCCCACTCCCGTGCAATCCGCAGGCACGAGCGGGGGAGGACAGCCCTGTCACGCCAGCACTGGGAGGAAGGGTGGAACAATTGCTGCTTGTCAGTCTGTCTCCTCTTCCTGCAGAAAAGGGCACATTGCTCCTTTCTTGTTATCAGCCTTCGACGAGTAATCTGCTGGGGAGAGGCATTGCTGGAAAATTGAGTCATTTGATACAGATCTGCTTTTGCTCTGCCATGGCCTGGCAATGCTGAGGGCTTGGTTGCTTGCATTTTCCTTATCCTAGGTGCTTGCAGTGGCTGTAATCTCATCTGTTAGCTTGGGCAGTGTGTGTTTGGAGGTGAGAACATCAAAAGAGTCAGCTTCACTGCTGTGGAGCTGGAAAGGTGCCCCACTCTGCGGCACTGCTCACCCTCTCCCTCCTGTCTGCTTCCAGCTTAACTTTTTGGGCATGGGAATGGCTTTCTAGGCACTGCTAGGGAGAAGCGGAGAGAACAGAGTACACAGAGGTGAGCTTGAGCCAGTCGTGTTCAGACTCCTGGACCTGAGCACCTCAGGAGGCTGATTGGTGCACAGCTGGGGCTTGTTCTGCAGGCTGAGCTTCCCTCTAATGCTGGGTGGAGAGTGCTTTGCCTTGCAACACCTGGATGCTCAGGAGCATCCATGAGTTGTCTTTGCCTCTCCCCAAGACACAACTGCTTTTTGCAGAGGCAGAGCCCTTTTTTCCCTTCCCTGCCCTTTAGATCCAACAAGTACTGCTGCCCATGGAATCCAATGAGGCAGCCCATCCTCCAGTCCCCTTTCCCAGGAAAGGGGATATGACTGCCTAAAAACTGAGCCCTCCTTCTGTGGAAAACTGGCACTTGGAAAAACCCTTTCCATTCTGAATCAGGCGAAAGGGAGTGGTGTAAAGACCCTTAATGAAGCAGGAAATATCAGTGCTTTGAATCTAAAGCATCTAAATGAAAGTTGTAAGGAAGTGATGCTACATGGTGGTTGTGGTTCTCCAGATCAGGAAATAAAAAATATGTTCACGGTTTACATCATTAATGAGGCCACTTTAAACCTTTGGGTTCTAAATCTGCACCATCTACCAACAAATTCTCGTTGCCTGGAGCTGCATGGAGACTTTAGTCGGTGTCTGACAGATTCAAAGAGGAACCAGTGGCAGCCTTGGCTTCTTCTTTCTAACAGTGTTTCTCCTTGACATCTTCACAGCAAGGTGTAAAAGAACCTTGCTGTAACTTTCCCTTAAGTGTGAGGGCTGGAAGGAGATGGCAGTGCTGGCAGCCCTGAATTGTCAGATGGTGGTGGGGGTCATAGGTCCCTCCTGCCTTCCTTGAAACCACAGGCTTGGACAGCTCTCAGGTGCTCAGCTTTGCAGCAGAGGATGCTGCTTGTGGGGAAGAAGATTTTCAGACTGAGTGGGAGTGATTTTTGGGGACAGATTCAACCCCAGGTAGTTGGGTAATAGCATGGGATGAATTCAATTCCTGCAAGTGGGAGCAACCAGTGTATATATGGTGAGGTGTATTCACTGCCCCAGGGCTGAGGAAGGAGCCAAAAACATTTTGGGACTGCTTGCTCAGGTAATCAAAATTTTTCCCATTTGAATCCACCTCTGGAGTTAGTTTTATTTACTACTAGACTTGCACCACTCTCTTCTCCTTGGTAGCTGGAAATTAGCTGGTGAAGACTGTGTCTGCCAGAGCTGCTACAGCTGAACCTTCCCAGAGCTGCAAGCACTGAAGGCACTGCTTGTTTAGCTAATGAGATGTTGCCACTGGATTTCTCTTTTTATTTTTATTTTGAAGAAGTTTTTCTGACACTCAGATATATTTCAAGTCTTCTAATTGCACAGCCTCAGACTGAGGCCCATCTTTGATCCGGAGTTTCCCCATAATCAAATAATAATAATGCTGTCAACTCTGCTGTTGAGATCCCATTAACTGCAGGACTTGCAGTTCTGGTGTGTACCAGCCATGGGGACACTCCTGGTGGTTCACCCCAGGCACTGGGGATGTGGTTTTGTCTCCCCACACAGCCGTGTGAGCAGTCACACGATCCTGTGTCCAGCTGGCTCACCAGAATGATGCTGGTAAGAAACAAAACGGGCTTTAGGATGTGGTAAACAGTGTGGTTTGAGGTCTGGGCAATATCCTGTGCAGGGGGACGGAGAGAAAGGCAGCCCACGAAGCAGTGGTTTCTCCGAGGGGCTGGGTGCCTCCAGACAGAAGACAGGCACTGCAAGATCCCTTGGGTGGGTGGTAGATCCTGTGCTGTGATCCAGACCTGCCCAGACTTGAGGTGGCTGCTCTTCAGGCTGCACTCCCTGACTCCCCTGTTCCTGTTTTTCCTCTCCTTCCAGGCACACCTTCTGGCAGTATCGCCGCGAGAACCCCCAAACCAAAGTGGGGGAGCCCCCTCCTGATGGGCTGCCAGGCTTCAACAGTGGTGTCCTGCTCCTGAACCTGGAAGCCATGAGGCAGTCCAAGCTCTACAACCAGCTGCTGGAGCCCACCATGGTGCAGAAGCTGACGGAGAAGTACCACTTCAAGGGCCACCTTGGGGACCAGGATTTCTTCACTATGGTGGGGATGGAGCACCCAGAGCTTTTCCATGTGCTTGACTGCACGTGGAACAGGCAGCTTTGCACGTGGTGGAGGGACCATGGATACAGCGACGTGTTTGACCAGTACTTCCAGTGCGAGGGTGAGGTCAAAATTTACCATGGGAACTGCAACACCCCTATCCCTGAAGACTAGAACACCCACCCACCACCTCTGAGAGCAGCTCTGACTGCAAAAGCCTTAGTGGCTGCACCAGCAGTCCCTCGGGAAGGGTGGCCAGCTCTGATCTGTTGCATCCCAGGTGAATCTCTGGGGATCCCAAGAGCTTTCAGTATCCCACAGCCTGTAATTCATCCCTTCAGGAGGAAGGGCAGTGCAGTTGCTGGAGCAGGATATCCACAGTCACTCTGTCCAGACTAGCTCCTGGCTCTGCTTGGGGTGAGTCCATGGTGCCTGTCTGTGCCACAGCTGCTGGGACATGGGGACAGCCAAGGGGCCATCAGAGCCTGTTGCCTTTGCCCATGGCAGGGTGCAGCTCCCTGGGTGCTGTGCAGCCTTACCTTGGATGGTCAGCAGGAGCCCACAGCAGGCACTTGGATGTTGTTTGTCGTTCCTCAGTGGCCCATTTCTGCACCTCATGCAGAGCACTGGTCTGGTCCCTCCAGAGAGCAGACACCATCCTCAGGTCATCTTCCTTTCTAAGCATTCCAGAAAGGCAAGAAGGCTTTAAAGACTGAAAAACTGCTTTAAATTGGGTTACTTACAAACAGAAATTGAATGCTAGATGAGCTTTAAAGCCGTCCATTGGTTCTTCTTAGCAATAAAAGCTTTACTGCGTTGTCCTAGAAGCGTTCAGTGAGCGTGTACCAATAGATTCATTTTTCTAGCTTTGCCTCTAACCTTTTGTACAGAAATAAAGCTGCAGATGTCAGACCTGCTCGGCTGTTTTTTGCGGCACAACTGAAGTCCTGTGCAATAGGAGATTTCCTACTTTTATCATGATTAAAACGTAGCTGATGTGTATCTGCTGGGCAGTTGAATGTGCTGCCCCACATAGCTTATCCCACATCTGTTCCACCCAAGTGATGCAAATAAACTGTCTGGCATACAAGCCAGATTTTTAAAGATCATCACCACCATAGCTGGGGTTGGTCTGGAAGGAGCTGGGAACTGCCTGTGCTGTGAATGAGTGAGCCTCAGGCATGAGCATGCTGTTCCCTCAGTAAATGCTGCCTCGGTGAGCCCAGCCAGCAGGCATGAGCTCCTGCACAGGTCTCTGTCAGGGAGGTGCACAGCACACTAACCCACCTCCAGCCTGGCTTTTACACCTGGCCAGCATGTGCCTGTGTGTGTCAGTGTGTGCATCTGTGTGATATGCACGTGCAAGAGAGAGGGATGGAGACCTAATTATGGCTTAGCCTAAAAATGGTGCACAACATGTCTGGCAGGAGTGTCCTGGGCTCCTTCCCCTGTGCCCATGAATGAACTTATCATTACTGAGGGAGAGGCTCTCCTCCCTCGAACTGATGTGCAGAGACATGAGGCTGTGGTAGGGCTGCATCCCGACCCTGCCCTCTCTGATGTGCTGAACCAATCCCTTTCCAAATAGCACAAAAGCTCCACTTTGAGTATTTTCACATCCCTGGGGAAGGAACAGCAAAGAAGGGATTAAAGGTGAGGGAAAGAAGCAGTACCCTGCTGTGTTAGACTCACATTTTCACCAAAAAACAAGGTGATCCAGCCTTGCTGTGCAAGGCAAGGAAGCCCCCCAGGGTGCTGGTGGGCAGGATTTGGTGTGGGAGATGCACCAGGATGATGCACCCTGAAGGACAAGGGGGGTTTGAAGGTGCCTCAGATGGCCAGAGCTGCTGCTGTGCCCAGAGAGCACATGCTGTCCTGGGAAGGGGGCTTTGCTCTGTTGGTGCCCCCTCATTTACGAGTGAGCTGAGTAGGGACATTTCCATGTTGTGTGGCCAGGAGCCACCCACCTCCCCTCTGTCCTGGTAGTGCCACACTGCTGTCTTGTCCTTGCTGGGCAGTTTCACAGTCCCATAGTTGGCATTGGCGCTTTGTCACCATCCTGACGTGTCCTGGGGCCCCCGCAATTGCCCCGAGCAGCTCCTGGAGTGCCCCATGTGCGCAGTCCCTGCCGTACCTGGGATGCTGCTGCAAGGACTCAGCCCTGCTCTTGCTGGTCAGGGCACATGGGTGGCACCAGTGACACACAGGGCCTCACACGCCAGGGCAGGACCTTGCCATCCGTTTGGAAATGGCCATGCTGGAAATACAGGCCAGGTGGCTTGTGTCACCAGCACTGGGGAGTGGTGGGGTAATGGGCAAACAGGGCTTTACCAGTGGCTGAGCAGCTTTGGGGTGGCTGTGGATGTCAGGGCTGGCCCAAAAGCACCACACTGGGTGCCACAGGGTCACACCTTGGGAGCCAGGGCTGCATTGGGCCAGGTGCCCCCCTGCCCCACAGCCACCCCTGGAGCTGGACCAGGTGTTAGGCATCCTCCACCTGAAGACAAGGGGATGCTTGCCACAGTGCTGGGAGCACTCTTCCCTCTCTGTGGGGTTCCAGGGGCTGTGATGGGGGTACATCTACCATTGTAGCCCCAGGCTGGAACCTTTCATTGAGGTTTTTTTCCAAAAATAAAGTCCGGGTTTTTTTCATTTTTTTCAGAATGGCAGTCCACTGGGAAACTCACTGCATTTTTTCAGCTAGGAAAAACGTAGTTAAGTGAAACATTTAATTCAGCTTGGATGGTTTTCCCCAGGCACCACACAGAGCCCAGTGCCACAGCTCCCACACAGCAGTGCCTGCCCCATCCGGACCCACATGGTCCCCGGGGCTGTGACTAAGCACCGCAGGCAGCGTGGACCCGCACGGTGCTATATATAGATCCTGCACGTAGCTAGAGCCTGTGTAATTATCTCCCCTTCATGCCCTGCTGATTGCAGGCACTAATGAGCTCAGCTGCAGAAACCGCAGTGGCAGCCTGGGGCTGCCAGCTCAGCCTTTTCAGAGGGTGCTGCCACAAGGGCCGCTTTGGGGCAGAAGCAGAGATTGCTGTGTTTGGCCGGAGTGACAGCATCCCTGAGGGCACTGCCTGATCAGGAGCCCTCACCCCCCACAGGCAGTTCCTGCACTAAGTGCCCAGCCAGCTGGTGACTGATGGGCCATCCCATGCCTTTCCTTCAGTGGTAATTCCTGGAAGAATAGGGACTTTCCATCTCCATCCTTCCTTGCCCTCCAGCACTGTCCTCAGGCAGATGCTGCTCCAGGCGCAAAAGGTCAGACCTGAGCATCCCCTCCTGGTCTCTATGACGATGGCCTGGGGCTGTGGCAGCCAGCACCAGCAGCTGCCAGCACAGGCACAGTGAGAGATGCCCAGAAAGCATTGAGCAGCACCGGTTTGCCCGTGGGCACTGGGGGTTTGCTGCAGTGACCCTGCGGCAGCAGCACTGGGACTGACAGGCAGCTCCTGGTCCCCAGGGGGCTGGCACCATGTCCTTGGGACAGCAGTGGTCCCCTGCCTAAGAAAGGGCCTCTGCAGACTCCAGAGCCTAGTTATGGGTTGGTTGGAGCCCCTCTGGAGATGTGGCAGGCTAAAGGCAACCCTGGGTGAGTGGCAGGTAGGGACACGCTGACAACACAGTGCTGGGGGGACACAGCTGTGGGGAGCAGGAAACCAGTCCCACCAGCACAAGCTGGTGGCAAGGGATGGGACCATGCCTCACTGGCCATGGGCCTTACACCCATGGGAGAGCTGCAGTGGCCCCAGCCAGGGCCTGTGGAAGGGCACAGAGCTCCTCCATCATGCCTGTTGGCTCTCTGCTCCTTGTCTTTTCACCTGCCGGCTCACAGCAAAGTGCTATTCATGTCAAGAGCCCCACGTTTTTCCAGGACAGAGAAGGAGATGGGAGAGCAAAGGGGTCTCCTTGAACTCTTTGTAGAAGACCAGGCTGTGGAAAGCAGCTCTGTAGCTTGAGCTTTAGGAGAAAATTCAATTTCTTGTATCATTCAGCATTTGTGAGAAATTGCATGTAGAACAAAAAGTATCCCTGGTTTTCTGCCCACTGTGCTGGAGCTGCCTGTGATTTTTGCTCTCCTCTCCTGCATTTCATAACACTATCAGTGTTTATTCTCTTACTCATTTGTACTTCTTTCCCATTTGAAACGATCAATTGTTGGTATAAACTCACCTAGGGAGCAATTACTATGAGCCTAACCCAAACAGGCTCTGGGGTGCTCCATTAAGCAATATCACCACCCTCGCTCTCTGCTGATCCCAGAGGATACAATATTTACTTTTCAGCTCTCTGCTATTCATACCCAGCGCACTTCGGTCAGTGTGCCAAGAATAACACAAACCTTAACAACGGCTTTCAGCGCTAAGATGGAGTTCCTGACTTTGCGAAACAAAACAAAACAAAAAAATAAAAAGCCAACCTGTTATTTCGCCTTTGCTGAGAAATGCCTGGCAGCAGCAGAGCAGGTGGGTGCCAGAACCACCCTTCTGCCTTGGGGTGGTGAAATCTGCCCCGATGGACACAGAAAGAAGCAAAAAAAAAAAAAAAGAGCAGTAAGCCTGGGACACAGGTTGGCAACTGCTGGCTTTTCCTTTTAATGCAGATTTTTATTGGGTTGCTGCGTTGTTTTGTGAGCTTTTCCTCAAAAGCTTTGCAGAACCACAGAGGGACATATTCCCCAGCAGCTGTAAATATTTCAGCCAGGCTTTCAGTAGCTCTGTCTCTGACCATCACAAGCCTCTGTGGCTTTAATTACTAATTGCAAAGAAATTGCTGCCCAGTCCTGTTAGCCTTTCAGTGCCATCAGGGTTCATTTTGTGCAGTTCTCCTCTGGAAATTATTTATTCACTAATCAGCTGCTAACCAGGGGGAGTGCTTGGAGCAAATTACCTTCCTGTGGTATTTCATAGGCATTAGCTGTATTGTACCTAAAGCCTCAGCGTTAATTTAGACAATTTGCCTATCTGAAGGAAAAACTGAAAGAAAGCAGAGTCTGGAGCTGCCAGAATGAGCTGCAGGTCTGGCCCTGCTGGAGGCTTTGGCATTGCCCACCAGTGAGGGGATGGTCAGCAGTTTACAGGGCGTTCCTGAGAGCCAGATGTGTCTATCCTGGGGTGTTCCTAAGAGCCAGATGTGGCTTTCATGGGGCAGATGTTGCTGTTGTGGCAGGTAGGAAACCACACCCTGGGGCTCCAATTCCCTTCCGAACATATGGGCACCTTCAAGCTCTTTCTCCTGGCTCGTTCCTGATGGATTTGGCATCCTGTAGCCCTGGCAAGGCACTTGTCCTCAGTGCCAGCCTTTACCAGCAGAGCCCCAGTGCCAGCTTCTCCTCCTGCTCCTGCTCAGCCATCGTTTAGCAGCAATTTATGACCCTACTGGTGACAATCCTAAAGCTGTGCAAGCCACAGGCTGCAGGCAGAGACCTGCTCACAGAAGGCACTGCATGGAGTGTCTCCATTTATCACCTACAGATTCTTGCTCTTAGTGCATTTTGCGGCTGTTGAAAGGTTTGGGGCCTTTGTCACAGCACATCCCCTCCTTGGAGCTGGTCAGGATAAACAGACACTCTCAGATCCTAAGGACAGTATCAGTTTAGGGAATAAATTGCTTATGGATACCCTGTGGCACATGGGGGTCTGGGCAGTGTGTCAGAAAGAAAAGGTGTATTTTTTTTTCCTGCATGCTTCTTCCTTTCAAACTCATTTTTTTCTGTGCTGGAGGACTTCTCTGGCTACCTTGGGAACACAGCAAAGACATGCCCTTCCAGCATAATCTGCCAAGCTCAAAGGAGAGGGAAATTTTATACAGTGTGCTTAAAAAGACCAGCAGCAATGGGGAAAAAAGTGAATGGGCATGTGAGATTGAGCCCCTCAGCTATGGAATGGGGGCTTGGAGAG